AAAAGCTTAACAACTTGGAAATAAACTGTATAGAACAACTCCTTGACTACAAAAATACTGAACTACTAAGTTAAACTGAAGTATATAACAATATCAAGAAAATCCTATGTAGCAGAACACCCAAATAGTTCTCTACAATACAAGAAATTATAGCCTCAACTGCAAATCTATCTACACAAATAGTTTACTCAAATCGACTCTGAACTACTTAACCTCACTAGCAAACTCATTTTTCTAAACTCCTATACTCTACTTATCAAGGAACCTACCAAACACATATGGATTACCACAACTTACAAAAATACTACAATTATTAGCAGAAGTACTAAACCCCAACAACTATATACCAACATTATACACTGGATACTCATACCTACTAACAACAAACTACAACTTCACAGATACACAGGATGTGAACTAACAACATCTTTAAATGGCTTTAATCACTATACTATACAAACTAAAACCATCTATCTACTACCTATCTGAGTTTCACGCACCTACCTATTCTAATCTAATATTGACGATATCCACTTAACATCTCACTTAAAACCAAATAACTGCAACTCCACTAATACTTTCACTACTACTTACAGATACAATGAACAAAACCTTATCACTACTATCTTCCAACCTAGACCAGTAACTGAACTGATGCAAAACTTGAGAAGTACCTTCTCCCATCAACACCAACTACACTACTAAATGACTTTAACCACAACAATAATACAACAACGCACATATATCTTCAACAACTTCAGAATGCTGCTTCCACAACTCAAAATATCTTACTCTCTACTAACATTATCCTGCTACCCCTATATAACTATACTACTACTGCAACTATCATTATAGAAATGTATAAACTCGGAATTACTCTACTAAGTAAAATGAACTCATGGCTAATTACTCTCAACTTCAAAGGATATAGCATCGACTAATTAATCAACCAATACTCAAATTCGCATGCTATTAAAGCAAAAACCAACAAGATAAACATCTTTGCCATTGAGCAGATCACTAACTACAACAATACTACCCCACTACCATGGAATTTCATTACACACACTACTAACAAAACTCCTCAAAGACCTGTACCTAAATAGTTTTACTAACTAACATCAGTTCTAACTACTTAAATCGACTTTAAACTACCTAATCCCACTAGCAAACTTATTTTTCCAAACAACCTACAAGACTTGATCTAAAGAGTCTAACAAAAATAGTTAGAGAAAAAAATATATCTTCTAATTATAAAATACAAAGATATATTATTAATAATAAGGTTTATTACTAAAAAATTCTACTACAATAACCTTTCTGACTTCATTTTTACTCTTCCTAACTTGCTATTCTCTGAATAGGATATATTTAATAACTTTTTATATAGCACTAAGTTAAATGATGATGATACAATAATGAGTAAAACTTCTAAGTCAGACTATGAACAATAATATAACTAATTCTACTAATTTTAATAATACAGAAATCTAACACAATAATCTTAATATCAATAAAAAATTGACAAAGAAATTTCTTACAGAAATTTCAAAAATCTACATAACTCTATTTTCTTTATCAGAAAAATACTATACTTGCAATTACACAAACCTTTCTGAGCTTCCAAAAGAGGCAGAAAAAGTAATAGAAGTAAATCTAACACTACTTATAAATATAACAAAAGAGTTAATAATAGTATTACAGATATTGTGAGAATACTACTTCTTCTACAAAATACTAGAATTTTGAATACAAATACCTAAAAAAGATAATCTTAATTCTAATACTCTTCCAAACAACCTACAAGACTTGATTTAAATAGTCTAACAAAAATAGTTAGAGAAAAAAAATATCTTCTAATTATAAAACACAAAGATATATTATTAATAATAAGGTTTATTACTAAAAAATTCTACTACAATAACCTTCCTGACTTCATTTTTACTCTTTTTAACTTACTATTCTCTGAATAGAACATATTCAATAACTTTTCATATAGCACTAAGTTAGATGATGATAATACAATAATAAGTAAAACTTCTAAATCAGACTATGAACAATAATATAACTAATTCTACTAATTTTAATAATATAGAAACCCAACACAATAATCTTAATATCAATAAAAAAATTGAGATTACAACCTACAATATTCAAGAACTAAATAATATAGTTAAACTACAAAACTGAATACAATATTGTAACAAAAATAATTTATATATTATTTCATTAACTGAAACTAAACTTAAAAGTACAAATAAATTTACTCTTACAAACCTAATCTACAAAATCTTTATTTCTAATTTTATTCTATACCAGAAACAACAGAAGGAACAAGTTTAGGAACAGCTTTAATAATATATTATTTATTAACACTATATATAAGAATATTCTAATATATTCTAGAACATTAATTCGAATAGACTTCTTTTTTTTTTTTTTTTTTGATACAACATAGTATCAGCTGAACTTTTATTGGTATTGATAGTGAGTAAATGATTACATATTGTGAGAGTACAACTAGCCACACATACAACTTTAGATTATTTAATTTAAGTAGTTCGCTCGAAGGCTCTATACTAGCTGCTATCTGAAATCTATTTGAAGATTACCTATTTAAACCTTCTGGCTTTATGATACTTACTCATATTCTATCTTTTTCTACCAAGTTTGCCTAATCCGTGCTACTTCTCCAGGAAGACACCTGAGCTAACATGTGTCCACAAACCTTAAGATTCGAAGTCTAGACCTATTTCAGATATCTCTTCTCCAACTTTCTAATCTATGGATGTTGTGGTATCTAACTATGCTACACTATATCCTAATCTAGCTTGCATATACTCTTGTTTGATATTCGTACAAATCTAGTTCCTACTGTGGCCTTCCACTAGGTTAGTTATTCATACTTCTAGATATTACACAAAGTAGATCCTCCCAAATCTGTTGCTTGGTGTTACCTGCTTTGCTACCAGATATCACACGAGATAGATCCTCTCAAATCTAGTTAGCCGCCAAGCTAGGTTAGTATTGCCATATGACCTTGTGTAATAGACTTACTTGCACCTGTTTTGTCAATCCTTCTGTACTTAGGACTTATTTATATCTATTTCACTAATTTTTTCGTACGCAGATTTTCTTTCCCAGATCAGACATTAACTGGTATGACTGTTGAAATCTATACTACTTCACTCAACTCAGAATTTCTACCATGCAGGTCCCCTACCTGTAGATCCTATTAAGATTTATTTGTATAATGTTATGCCTTGCTAAATGCTCTGTTATACTTCTAATACCCTGATTAGTATTGGTACAACGTGATTTACAGAGTTACAACCTCAGAAACGAGCAGAGTTTACTGTAAGTTAGATACAGATATCTAGGTAATTATTCAATTCTGTATATAGTGGGATTTGAACTCTAGACCTCTTGCATAGTAGTTTGGCAACCTAACTACTACACTAAGATCACCAAACCTTTGAATAAACTTCTAATTTTCTAACAACAATAATATCTGCATAGTTTTAATATACCTTCCTTTAAAGGTCTGGCGATCTTAGTATAGTAGTTAGATTGCTAGACTGCTATGCAAGAGGTCTGAGGTTCAAATCCTACTGTCAACGAATTTGAATAATTACTCAGATCTTTGTACCCAACTTATGATAAACTCTGTTCATTTCTGGAGTTGTAACTCTGTAAATCACATTGCACTAATATTATTTGGATATTAAAAGTGTAACAAAGTGCATAATATTATATGAATAAATCTTAATAGAATCTATAGGCAAAGGACCTGCATGGTAGAAATTCTAAGTTAGTGAAGTAGTACAGCTTTCAACAATCACACTGGCTAATGCTTAATTCAGAAAAGAAACTATTATCAAAAGATGCAGATTGAGTTGGATACGTATAAATCCATTCCACAAAAAGGATCGGTAACACTAATCTGGCTTGGCAACTAACTGAATTGGGAGGATCTACTTCATGAAATATCTAAGAAGATAGACCCAGAAAACTGGTGAAGAGCTATAGTAGGAACTGGGGTTGTATGAGTATCTACAAGGGTCTAAGCTAGGTAAATTCATAAAATAGATATGAACCACTCTAGTAGGTTTACTTCTGAAGTTAACTAAAGATCTGCAACTCACAATACATTAGGCATACGCATCCCAAGAGGACCTAAGCTGTATAGAGAATAGATCCACAGATGAACTAGCTGGCTTAAGCAGTCAGTCATAGTAGTGATGTTAGTTTAAGATAAGGAGAAAAGTTAATGATTAGAGTGTTTAAATAAGTAACTCACAAATGGGTTGCAAGTATAGTAGTATAGTATAAAACTAACAGATGGTCAATTATCTGTATAGTGGACTACTTAAATTATACAATGACTAAAGTTGTATGTGTAGCTTATTGTACACTCATCATGTAACTGTAAAACCTTAGGAAACTATTTATATGATAGTTCTGTAATAACAAACTAATAAAATCTAATCAGCTAAGGAAGTGGTCTTAATAACAAAAAAAAAAAAAATATATCTTCTTTCAAACTATGATAACTTGCTGATGAGAACACAAAGGTAGCTAAATAATTAGATAGAAGAAATTAAAACAAAAAACTAATACTTATTAATTAAGAGAAACTTCAACACAAATACTAATACCAAGAAAAAAAATATATAATATTCCTAAAATTACAAATTGCTAGCTTCTCAAGTTTATTAGAATTCTATAATATATCAGCTTCTACTTGGCAGTGACAAGATCTTATTAGCCAAATAGATAATATCTAGGCCTCAAGTAATATTTTACTTGATCTGTGTATTCTAATGCTATCTAATACAATTAGAATTTCAAATAGTGACTACAAAATAATAAATATAACCTGGTATACAAGATTTATTATACTTATAAAAAACAGAAAAAAAAGAAAATAGAAAATATACTACTATGACAAGATAAAGAAACAAAATTGGAAAGAATTTTTAAATACTATAAAAACCCTTATGAATTCTTCTTCAGACTCTAAAAATTGTTTAAACTTGACTACTTTTAATAAGCTTTGGCATATCTGATCTCAAAAGATAAAAGAAGCTATTAACAAACCTATTCTTTATATATATACAGTATCTAAAACCTTTTACTCAATCTTATTAAAATCAACAAAGTTGTACTCTACTCTAAAAAATATCAACAAAGCTCTAAACTTACTAGCAACTAAACCAAACACTCCTTTAGATATCCTGAACAAATATATTTTAAAAGTTGCATTACTAGCTAATCTAACTATTCCAAATATGAATCAAGATAAATACAATAATAGTGATACCAATACTATTACTAAACTTAAAGAATATAAATATATAATATAGCAAGCATGTAATATTGAAAAAAGAAATGAACAAAATGAAAAATCAAATTCTATACTAACTGCAGATATATTGATTTCAAAGATAATACTTAAAGAATAATAGATAGTATCTTGTAAAGATATATAGTAAAGGTCTGGTAATCTTAGTGTAGTGGTTAGGTTGCCAAACTGCTATACAAGAGGTTTAGGATTCAAATTCTACTGTCAATGAATTTGAATAATTATCTGAATCTTTGTACCTAACTTACAGTAAACTCTGCTTGTTTCTAAAAGTTACAACCCTGTAAATCATATTGTATCAATGTCAATTAGATATTAGAAGTGTGATGCAATGTTTGAGTTATATTGCACAAATAAATCTTGAAAGAATCTACAAGCAGAGGATCTGTATAGTAGAAATCTCAAGTTTGGTAAAGTAGTATAGATTTTGATAGTTAAGCTAGTTAATATCTAATCTAGTGAAAAACCTAAGTACAAAGAATATGAGATCAATAAGTGCAAGTAAGTCTACTATGTAATACAGCTTGATGCCTTGCATTAGTAGCAATACTAACTTGGCTTAGTAGCTAACTAGATTAGAAGAATTTACCTTATAAAATATCTAGCTAGAACTTGAAAGACTATATCTGGTGAATAGCTATGGCAAGAACTGAGTTTATATGAATATCAACAAAGGTCTAAGCTAGGTGAATCTGTAAAATAAGCATATAACTACTCTGGTAGAAATTACCTTTGAGGTTAGCTAGAGCTCTGCAATTTATAATATATTAGGTAATATATATCTCAAAGAAGACCTAAGCTATGCAGTAAATAGATCTGCATATAAGTCAACTAGCTTAAGCGATCGAATATAGTAGTAACATTAGTTTGAGATGAAGAAAAAAGGTTAATAATCAAAGTGTTTAAATAGGTAACTCACAAGCAGTTTGCAGATATAGCAGTATAGTATAAAACTAACAGATAGTTGATTATCTGTATGGCAGACTACTTAAATTAGATAATAACTAAAGTTATACGTGTAGCTTATTGTATACTCATTATATAACTATAAAACCTTAGGAAACTATTCATATGATAGTTCTGTAATAACAAACTAATAAAATCTAATTAGCTAAGGAAGTGGCTTTAATAACAAAAAAAAAATAAAAATATAGTATAGACTAGATCAACTATGAAAAAATTATCTCAAATGATAAATTAATAACTAAATCTAATAATATTAAAAAAGCTATCTAACAATACTTTAAAAACTGAACAAAAGAAAATAAAACAAATAAAAACTTTTGGCATGAATAAGAATATTACTATGAACTACTAAGTCATATATAATCTTATATATTTAACAATCTTTTGACTCTAATAAAAATAGTGGATCTACTACAGATTATTGCTGCAATACTAAAAATAAAGCTACTAGACTATTTAGAATTTTAAATAAAATTTTGTAATACTTATTACTAGTGGTAATCTTATATTTTCTAGATATAATAAATATTTGCCTCATATTTCAAACTATATTAAACTAATAGACTGATTCAAATATTTAGCTAATCTCAAAAAAACTTCAATACAACTATAATCTTAATACAACCAAACTAATTACTCTAATTAAACATACAAGAAAAGTCTTTATGAAAATACTAACTAATAGACTTATTTCTATAATTACTAGAAATAAAATCTTATCTTTTCAAAACTTTGCAGCTTTTCCTTATTAATCAACTCTGTAGCTAGTCTCTCAGTTAACAAGTATTATTAAATACTCTATTACAAAAAAAAAAGAAATTTGAATACTTTTACAGAACTTGTCAAAAGCCTTCAACTTTATTTATTTGTTAACATTATATAAGACTTTAGAATGAATACACATACTAAAAAGTTTTATACAACTTTTAATATTATACTTATCTAATAAATATAATAGAGTTATAACTACCTTAAGACTTACAAAATATTACTATGCTGAAGATAGAATAGACTAAGGAGAAATTTTCTCTCCCTTACTCTGAAAGATTTACTATGACTTGTTAATCTCCTAAATATATAAAGAATTTATAAGCTTTCAAGAGTATCTGAAAATATAGTAGCTACACAAGATCATTTATAGTTTTATAATAGTATATATAAATGACTTACTCTAGATTACTTCAGATAAAAAATCTCTAACAGATATTCTTAAAGTAGCTAACTTATTCTACAAACTCAATAATATTTATTTTTTTTTTTTTTTATTATAGAATGAGGCCTTGTCTTGGATTTTATTGAGTTTAATAATATAAGGACAATATAATTGTATTACATTAATTGACTACTATTACCTAAGCTAGAGCTAGTTTACTTCTTGGCTTGTACTCTACTAGAGTGGGCCAAAGACCTCATCTAGATTTGGTATTGAATAGTTGCTATAAACATATCAGTGATATTGGATTTGGTGTAGATTTTTGCCTAATTGTCAGTTTTATTTTTAGCTAACTGTATAGTATAGTTGTGGGTGTAGGTTTGTTCTAGAGAAGTTGGTGGAGTACCAATTGGTACATTACTTGAGGTAGAAGTAGAAGTGGTGGCAGATAGCTGTTAGCATCGTAGAATTCAGATTTGCTTGTATATTTGTTAGATAGTTTTATGGAGTAGGCGTGTGCTGTGAGGTATTTTGTTGGCTAGAGTTATTAAGTATTAGGAAAGGTTAGTAGTTAGAGTTGTTGGTATGAGGCCTTGGAGTATGAGGTTTGTATCTGCTGAGAGGTGAGGAGAAGGTATATTAAGATGTTCAAATATAATTTAGCAGATATCTGGTATTAGATCCTAGTATATTTCCTTGATATGTTTATTTATGTACTTGGTGATAACTGTATTGATAATATTAGAAAGTGGAGTAGAGTTGTTAGAGCAGATAATCTAGTAGGTATTAGTCTCAGTAGCAAGTTTGTATTGTTGGCATTCTGCTGTAGCTATTTTTTTTAGGTGGCGTTTATGAAGGTTTTGCTGAGTTAGAAGTTCATCTATAAGGAGTTTTATTTTAAATGCTTTAATTGTTGAGTATTTGAGGGAGGTTTGTAGGCTATTTGGTGTATTATGCATATTGATGTATTTGTGAGTAGCTTCCTAGTCTGTAGTGTTGCGTATACTGTTCCAGTTTTGTATTCATTGTTGTGAGTGCTAGGTAGCGGTATAGTTGGCTTGTTGTATATGTTTAATTACTATTTGAGTTTTGTTGTCGATTGGTATTTGCTGGAAAGTAGGGATAAAAGTATTATAATCGATATTGGAAGCTAAGTAAAGATATCTGGAGGAGGTTAGCAGTGAGCTTGTTTGTACTTTCAGTAAGATTTACTTGTAGTTAGATATTCGTTCATGCAATTAAGATAAAGATGAGATTATCTTTTTTAGGTATTTGTATTCAAGATTCTGGTATTTTGTAGAAGAAGTAGTATTCTCACAATATCTGTAATACTATTATTAACTCTTTTGTTATATTTATAAGTAGTGTTAGATTTACTTCTATTACTTTTTCTGTCTCTTTTGGAAGCTCAGAAAGGTCTGTGTAATTGCAAGTATAGTATTTTTCTGATAAAGAAAATAGAGTTATGTAGATTTTTGTAAGAAATTTCTTTGTTTTTTCTTTTGTAATAAGTAGAAAGGTATAGGTATTTATTAAAAATAGATCTTTTGGTTTTAGAGGAAGTTTTTGTATTAGGATAAAGTAATTGTTAGATAATTTGAAAAAAGCAAAATCTTGACAAAGTAAATTAATATGTTCTAGTAAATCTTCTTTATTTTTCAAAAGAAATAGAAATTTTAGTTGTAAATATAGTAAAAAATCTTGTAAAGTAAGCAGTAGTTGTAGTTTTGGTGCAAATAAGTTAAATTAATTTGTTAAAATCTGATCAAAGATATAGAATTCTTAAAAAAACTCTTTCTTGTCTGCTTAACAACTATACTACAGAAAATAGAAAAAAAGAAAAACAACTATACAACTAATACTAATAACTCTTCTCTTTAGGAAGACTTAAGTAAAAAAGATAACAACTCACAAAAAAGATAACTACTAACATCTAAAACCAACTACTTGAATATTATAACTTCAACTATAAAGAATAGAGGAATAATAAAAAAATATCGTCTTATTGACAATGTTAGCTCTAACAATATACTAAATAACAACAAAAACAACAATAATAACAATACTCTGAATATAGATACTACAAATACGAACTATATGTTCTAACAAAATAACATAATAAACAACAATGAACTAGCCAAATATATTCTTGATATTGTAATTTTTGATGCTGACAAACTAACCTTTCAAGTTTATTTTACTCTAGAACTCCCTAACAATGCATATATCTACTATATTAACGTACAAAAATCTACTATTATTAACAATATCACTCAATTTCCAAAATATTAGATATATACTAGTGAAGCTAACAAACTTCTTTTTACACTCAAAAAAGTTAGAAACCAAAATGCAATTACAATTTTAGTAATAAAAATTCTAACTAGTGAAACCCACAACTCCTCTCTCATCAAAACCTATATTCAAACAAAAACACAATATATGAAAGTGAATAAATAAGAAAATATATTAGTATTTCTAACACTATTCTATGAAAACTTTACTAATACTACCAATACTCCTACTACTACTTAGCCAAATATTTGTGTATCCTCTCCTGAAACTGATAACATATCTATTAATAATATAAACAATGCCAATAGCAGTAATACTAACTTAACAAAAGAAGGACAAACCACTTCAAATGAGCTAGAAAATTATGAAAAACCTAGTACAAATCTTGATACAACAAAATATAATACAAGGAGTAAGAAGATACAAAGCGAAAAGCAATATAATACAGAACTATATCAATCATGAGCTAACCAAATGGAAGATGATACAGATATCCAATATATACACCAAACACAATATCCTACATATACTGATCAACCAATATTAGCCTTATCTCTAAAACATGTAATATACTTATGGATAAAAAT